CCCCCCCCCCATCTTCCCAACCGCAAGGTTAACAGAGGTCCCGTCTCTCTCACACTCTCTTCCAAAGTAATGCTGTCTGCTGCGCGCGCCTCGGCTTGTCGCGCTCTCGGGCGGTGGATGCAGACGTCGGCTGCGGCTGGAGCTGCCGGCGGTGAGGCTCGAAGCAGCGGAGGTGCTGGCCAGTCGCCGTTTCCGGAGCGGCCGTGGTTTGTGCGGGCGCTGCGGGTGTCGGACGCGCTGAAGAACGAGATGCACGAGCTGCATGTGTCGGCGCCCGAGACATGGACCGTCCTCCGCCTCGCCTCGCGGTACCAGCTCAAGGTCCCTCGGGTCAAGGCCATTCTCTCGCTCAAGGCCATCGAGGCTGCCGGCCAGTACCCGAACGAGGTGCTGGAGGAGACTCGCAAGCTTGATGCTCGCATGGAGGATGTTTTCCGCGTCCGCCAGACCGGCCGCGAGGCCGATGTGCACCGCGACAAGCGGGTGGGCGGGCCCGACTTTGTGGCTCTCTCCGACGACGACGCCGTCGCCGCCGCCGTCGCCAGCCGCCAGCCGCCCTTCCGCCCACCGCCGCCTGCGGATCCTGATGCAGGAAAGCCCGCTGCCGCTGCCGCCCCGCTCCCCGTCCTTGACGTCAACCCGGCCGCTGCCGACCGGGCCTTTGACATCGAGGTCATTGAGATCGGCTCGCACGTCGACGACGACTCGCGCACCGTCACCATCCGCAAGAAGGACGGCTCGCTGGTCGAAGCCGACGCTTCCACCCGGGCCGCTGCCAACAAGCTCGTCAACCCGCAGTTTGATCCCCACGCGTACCACAAGCGGACCCAGGGCCGCCTCTATCGCGACATCAACCTCTCCGCCGCCAGCGCCCAGTCTGCCGCCGCCGCCGCCGTCGCCAGCAAGGCCGCACCTGCATCGGAATCAGCAGCAAAGGATGAGTGAGTAACAATGATGTCTCCCAACTGGCCAGCCACTCGGCCCCACGCTTGCCGTTTTGCTCGCTGCCAATTGGCAGCGAGCAAAACGGCCGCAAGCGCCGTCTGGAGCTCGTCATGCCGCCGACTGTTGCTGTGCGGGGTCCCTGTGCGGGGTCCCGCACCAGCTCAAACCCCCGCAACCTACTCGACGCGATGCAGACACATGCTGACCGTTCGCTGCGCGATGCGCAAAAATTGGTATTTGGCCGCACCGTGGCACGGGGCCACGGTGCGGCCAAATACCAATTTTTTCAGCGAGAGAATTGATTGTTGCTGTGCGGGGTCCCTGTGCGGGGTCCCGCACCAGCTCAAACCCCCGCAACCTCCTCGTGCTTCCCGTTCGGTCCCTGCATGCGGAATGTACTTACACCTGACCAACAATGACAAGCTCGACCTTGGGGCTTGTTCTCCTTGTTTGTTGCGGCTTATTGGTTGCCACAGCCCTTGGTCGTGGTACGTAGCCACCATGATGCTATCGCTGTCTGTATCGTTGCCCTCTGTCTCGGTCTCCTCGGCCGGAACATGGGCAGGTTGCCCGCTTTGGGGTGAAGGGAGCACTTGAGTCGGAACACTACAGCATGCCTTGCCATACGCTTCCTGTGTGCAGCACGTGAACCAACATCAGCCGGACAAAGAAGAGCATAACTCACAGACGCTGATTGGGTGGTGTGCGTGGCAATGGGCGCTCTCCTGTGGCGGGCGAAAGACAGCTTTTTCCGAGAAACGATGGGGGCACGAGTTCTACGGCGATAGAGATGATACGTCCGAGACTGGGTTCACCATGTCGGCGTACTGTCGCAACAGCAAGGCCGGCGGGTGGCCGGCGTGGGTGCCCAATCAGCGCTGGAATCGCTACATGGAGCGAGAGAAGGCGGGAAACGGCAACTACTTGATGGGCATGAACGATCTTTACGAGGAAGGCATTTACCAGTGGACTTACCGCGGCATCAACGGTCTCGCGTACACGTACCTCAACTGGGCTCCGAATGAGCCTAACAACTACTTTCCCGGCGAGGACTTTATTCAGCTTCTCGACGACTTTGCCTACAGGTGGAACGACATTTTTACGAACGACAACGGTCGCATCTTCTGCATCCGTATCGATCCCAGTGTGGACCTGATCCAGGACTTTAAGCCCTTTCAGCACCAGAACGTTCTCTACACCCACCCGGAAGACAACGTCGAGCCGGTGCTTGTGCGAGCAACGTACGTCACGCCATCGTTCACTGCCCTGCTCTCCTTTGGCATCGGCGACTGCGACGCTGGCAACCGCTACGGCGTCATGCCGTTCCGCTCGTCTTACTTTTGGATTGAGACGCCCATCGAGGAGACTGTTGTTGGTACGGGGCGCAAGATCTGCGTCTCGAACGACTTTGGCGTCAACTGGTACGAAGGCAACCTCGATACAACGATCGAGCTCGGCCGGCCGTGGCCGACCACGTTTGGTGCTCTCTCGCCCACGGTCATCGGTTTCAACGGCGGGCCTGGCTCGCTGACGCTGACCGCGAACAACCCGGCGTACCTTACGCCGTCGACAGAGATTGCGTTTGTGGACGTCGAAGCTTTTGCTGCCGACTGCCCAGGCTACGTGCATCCTTCATCAGGCAATTGCTACTGGATCCCAGAGCCGGTGGTCAAGGATCTCGATGAGATTGCAGAGACGTGCGGCCTTCAGGGCGGTGTAGTGTGGAGCCCGACTACGCCGCAGGAGTATGTCGACATTTTCAACCACTTTCAGCCGTGGGTTGGCGCAAGCTCGCAGTTTGGATATCCGCCGTCGAACAACATCTGGCTCGGCATGCGCGTTCTCTACAATCCCATGGTCGGGGCTGACAAGCCCGCTTTGGCATCGTGGCACTCCCGGCTCATCCCGGGCTTGGCCGGTATGTTCGACGACTGGGCGCCAAGCGAGCCTGACGACAGCAGCGAGATTTACGTCCAGGTTGACGAGGACGACCCCAACGGGCCATGGAAAACGAGAAGCACCCGGAATGCGAAGTGGATGTATGCATGCATGCGTACTCGCAAGCGCTCCATCTGCGACTTTAACCGCATCGGTGCCGCTGCTGCGTCGGCCAGCTCTGTCTCGTTTGCCGCCACGCGGACCGCCCTCGACCTGGCCACCGAGGCAAAGGGTAGGACGACGACTTACGCCGTTTGCGCGCGGACCGCACGTCCACACTGGGTCCACCAGATGCTCTCCCTCACCCACGTCCTCGTCACTCCGACCTCGATCACCGCCATGACGCCCAGGACCGTCGGTGCCGGCGTGACCTTTACCGCCACCTTTGCCGTCGCCCCGGGCCACCGCATTCACTCGCCGACGTCGCGCTTTTCGTTTGCGACAAACTGCCTCAACGGTTCGCCGCAGTACGAGGCTGCGTACGACTCGGAGAGCGGCCGCTACACCGGCGTCTCTATTCCGACCTTTGGTACCTACAAGCTCTGCGTCTGGCCATCCAGCAGCGCGTCTCGAGTTGAGATGGCCGGCATCCAGCTGGTTGTCGCCCCGAGCGGTGTCAACGCCATTGCCTCGGTCTCGCCGCCGACTATCGCTGCCGGTGCTCCGGCCCGGTTTGTCTTTTCCGGTGCCCAGGTGACCGACACCGGCACCCGTCTTGCGCTCGTCGCCAGCGGAGCACCGTCATGTGTCGTGGATAACCATGTTGCACCGGCTGTGCCGTACTCTGCGACTGGGTCTGTCCTCGTGGCGCCATCACTTGCGGCGGGCGCGTATCACGTGTGCTACTCGGTCGATGGCGGTGTGTCGTTTGCGCGCCAGACGGGCCCGGTCATCACTGTGGTCGACGTCACTTCATCCACCATCTCGTCATTCTCGCCGCAAAGCGCGTACGCCGACGATGCTGGTGTCTTTCTTGAGCTCAACGGCCTGTCGAGCGTGCTCTCTGGACAGGTCGGGCTCTCGACAGTGGCCAACTGCTCAAACCCGCCTTCTACTGCCACCATCTCCAACGCGGTGGTGGTCAACGGGCGCGGGATGGCGTCGATATCGCTCAACAGCGGCGTGCCTGCGGGTCAGTACTACCTCTGTCTTGCATCGGCGGCCAAGCCGGGGACGTGGGTGGGACAGGCTAGCGGCGCAGCGTTCGTGGTCTTCTCGCCGCCCAGTGCGATCTCTGTGACGCTGGACTCGCCGCCAGCGGTGCTCGGCAACTCGTTGAGCTCGTATGTGGTGAGCTTCACGGCCGACGATGAACTGCCGGGCGCCAAGGTGGCCATCTCACCCTACGCCTCGTGCCAGGACCGCAAGGTCGAGGTGGCGCTTGCCGATGGCTCGATCGACCTCGCGCTCAGCGTCGACTACGGCGAGCCGGCGGCGCAGCTCTCCAAGAACTACCACGTCTGCTACACAGCCGAGGGCACGCGTTGGGGCTCGACGGGGCAAACGATCCAGTACGCGATCGACTCGCCGAATGCGATGACCGATCTGGTACCGTCGACGGTGCTGAACGGGACGCAGCCGCTCATGACCTTTGGGTCGCTGCAGCAGACGTCGGTGCCGTCACAGGTCCAAGTGGCGCTCCTGCATCCAGACGCCAATCAGGACTGTGGGCAGACGGGCTTCCACATCGGGACGGTTGATGTGCAGGCCAAGAACCAGGAGCTTCTGGTGAGCGAGGCGCTCGCCGAGCCTGGTGTGTTCGATGTCTGCCTCACAGTCAACGGCGGAGCGACATGGACGCGGCAACTTCGATCGCAAGTGTCTGTGGTGAACGAGCCGCTGGCGCTGTCGATCGAGTCTGCCACGCCGCAGATTGTGGCGTCTGGTGTGCCCGGTCTCGCGTTCGACATTGTGACCGATGCCCGCGACGGGACGACACAGCTTGCAATGGCCAAGTCTGGAGCGTGTGTTTCGGGGCGGATTGGCGAAGTGGCGTACACCACCGGTTCGCCGTCGCCGCCACCGTTCACGGCGCCGACGGGGCTGGACAAGGGCAGGTACCAGTTCTGCTTCTACAAGCCTATTCTTCTCGCCGAATGGGTGGCGCAGATCGCAGTCAGTGCGGAGGTCACGGTCGTGTCGTCGACGGAGGCGCTGATTCTGTCGTCGCTCGAGCCTGCGTTCCTTGGCTCGGGCATGACGAGTGACCTCGTGCCGTCGGGGACGTCGAACCTCATCGGGGCGTCGTCGACCAAGGTGGCGGTCATTCCGGTTGCCGACTCGTGCGGCTCGGTGCCGGTCGCGAGCGAGCGTGAGTTTGGATACGGCAACACGACGATCCGTGGGTATGTCGGCGATCCGACACCGGGCATGTACAAGGTGTGCACGCAGATGGATGCCACGACGGCGTGGGTGGAGAATCCTGCGGCAACGTTTACGGTTGTCGGGCCGAGTGCAGACCGGTTTGTGACGCCGGTGCCAAACGTGATGGGTGCCAAGACGCGGCCGACGATCACGCTGACGGGCAACGGAGCTTACCACGCCAAGGGCGCGTCGGTGGGGCTCTCGACCTCGGCGAGCTGCGCGAGCGTGGATGCGTCGGTGGATCTCAGCACCGACCTTGGGGCAACCGTGGCTATCACGGTGGACCGCGACTACGCGTCGGGCCCGCTGTATGTGTGCTACTCAACAGACGGCAAGGCAAGCTACACGGCGCAGAGCGCAACGATCGATGTGGTGACGATTGACACAAACACGCTGACGTCGGTGGACCGGCGATACCACCCTGCAGACAAGAGCGGGCTGACGATGACGTTTAGCACGTTTACGCCTGTGACGACGGGCGCGATCGCGTTTGCGGCGGCAGGCAAAAGCTGCCTTATTCTGGGTGACCGCGAGGCTGTGACGGACATGACGGCGACAGGACCGGTGACGCTGTCTGCGCCGCTGGCATTGGGAGCGTACTCGACGTGCTACACGGTCAATCGTGGGGCGCCGTCCGAGGAGTGGACGCAGCAGTCGTCGGTGACGCTCACGGTGCAAGCTGGAAGCAGCACGACAGTGACAGGCCTGGTGCCGGCGGAGGTGCCGTCCGGAGTGGACGACTTTGTGCTAACGGTATCGTCGTCGATTGTGCTGATGAGCGGCGTCGAGCTCGGGTTTACGCTCACTGCCGGCGACTGCTCGTCCCCGCAGGTTGTGACGCTCATCAACAACGGGTCGCAGACCGAGTACGTGCTTGGCGGCGGGAGCGGCGGATTCACGAGCGCAGGCGTGTACTACGCGTGCGTGCGAGTCGACTCGGACGTGCCGACGTGGCTGGCGCAGACGGGGGTGTCTGTGCAGGCGATTGCTGCGACGGCGACGACGGTGACGAGCCTGTCGCCGCTTGTGGTACCTGTCGGCGTGAACCCGGTGTTTGCGATGACCGGCTCCAACATCAAGCCGTCTGCTGCGACGCGGGTGTTCTTCTCGTCGTCGGCGTCGTGCACGCCCGAGCTGGGTGTGATTCCGATTGTGAGCGGGACCGAGACGCAGTGGACGTCGGCGATCAACACACCGGGCAACTACACGGTGTGCTATGGGGTGCACGCGACGCAGGTTGTGGCGCAGACAAGCGTGGGCAAGCTGGTGGTGCGCGGTGCGACTGACGCGATTGATCATGTCGACCCGCGCGTTGTGGGCGTGGGCTCCAAGCCGACGTTTGCGCTGTCGGGAGTGTACTTTGAGTCGTCGTCGTTGATGTCGCTGGTGCCTGTGGGCGTCGGGTGTGGAGCCGGGGCCGGGACGTACGTGGATGTGCCGTGGACTGGGCCAACGATCGCCGCGGCGAGCGCGATGCCTGCAGCAGGCGACTATGTGGCGTGCTACTCGTGGGACGGCAGCCGTGGCGGGCTTGTTCAGCAGGATGGACCGCTTGTGCGTGTGGTGGACGTGACTGCGAACGATGTGGTGGATGTGAACCCGAAGCTGTTTGGCACGACCAAGCCGCCGCCGCTGACGATCAGCCTCAACACTGGGGTGGAGATCTCTGCGACGACGTGGTTCGCACTTGTTGCGCAGGGCGTGGCATGCGATTCCGAGAACGTGGACGGCGCTGTCCTGCTCAGCCTAGGCACGACGATGTTCAACCTGGGGCCGTTTAACTCGCCATCGGGGCCGTACGAGGTTTGCTTGTCTGTGGATGGCGGGCTGAGCTACGTCAAGCAGGCTGGGCTCAATGTGACGGCGCTCTCTGCGCAGCCGACAACGATTACGTCGCTGAGCATTGACGGAGGCGAAGAGGCTGGAACGACGGTGATCGAGACTGGGGTTCGGACAGTAGTTGTGGTGAGGGGCGCGACGGCGTCGGTCAACACCAAGATCGGGTTTGACCGCGTGTCGGGCGGGTGCCAGGTGCCGAACAACGTGCTGTACGCGCGCGACTACAACGAGGCTGGGCCTGGCGAGCTTGCGTATTTTAACGTGACGTTTGCCAACGCTGGTGAGTACGTGTTGTGCCTGTCTGTGGACAGTGGCGACAACTACGTGATGCAGAGCCTTGCCGAGACGCGTGTGCAGGTGATTGTGTGTGCCGCGCAGACATCGTGCGGCGCGTGTGCGTCGATCTGCTCGTGGTGCCTCGAGGAGTCAAGCTGTGTGTCGCGTGTGGGGATCGGCGGCGGGGCGTGTGCCAACACGACGACGGTGATTCCCGGGCTGAGCGGCGAGAACCGGGCGTGTCCGACGGGCACGCCGTCTGCGTCATCGGGCTCGATGCAGGGCGGGACCGAGGTTGTGTTTTCGGGCGGCCCGTTCCTGCCGGGCACATCGTGCCTTTGGGATCGCGGTGCCGGACAGCCGTTAGTGACAACCGCCGGAGTAGCAGCTGCGGATCGATCGTTGCTAACATGTGTGTCGCCAGCTTCTCTAGTGGCCAGCACCGGATCGCTTACCCTTCAGTACCTTGACCAAGAGTACCTTGCGGCTGTGCCGTTCGAGTACTACTCGTGCCTGCTCCGGGACACGTGCTCCGAGTGCTGGGAGGCAGCGCGGCCCGAGTGCGGGTGGTGCGTGGACACGCAGCAGTGCACGATTGCGTCGTCGTGCGTGAACCCGAACGCGACGGCGCCGTCCGAGACGCCGCTGTTTGGCGGGCAGAGCTGCCCGTCTGTGGACGCGATTGCGCCGCTCAACGGGCTTACATCGGGTGGTGAGACGGTGACGGTGACCGGCGTGCTGTTCACCAACTACTCGCGGCTGATGTGTGCGTTTGACGGAGTGCCGGTCAACGAGACGGTGTATGTGTCCGAGAGCGAGCTGCAGTGTTCGACGCCGCAGCGCGGGGCCGGTGGCGCGCAGTTTACGGTGGTGGCGCCGTGGGGCCGGTTTGACGAGACGACGCTGTTCTTTGTGTTTGAGCAGCCTGCGGCGGTGCCCAAGCCGCCGGAGCCGCCGCTGGGCACGAGCTCGATTGTCGGCATTGCGGTTGCGGGAGCTGTTTGCTGCCTGCTGATTGTGCTCCTCGGGATCCTTGTGTACAAGCGGAAACGCGAGGAGGAGCTGTACGGGCCGCCGGAGCTGACGGACGATCTGCGGCATTCTGTGGTGTTTGGCTCGTTTGGATCGAAGAAGCCGCTCGACTTTGACGCGATCGTCGCCAAGTCGGGCCCGCTGCTGGAGATGCTGCTGCTGCCGGGCTACGAGGTGCTTCACGCCGTGGTGGACGTGACGCAGGCGACGGAGGCGGACAAGGTGGCCAA